ATTTAATCACCCTGTTAAAAGCCATATTTCCAAATACAATTTCATTATGAGGTACTTGGGATTAGGATTTCAACATATGAACTTTGGGAGAACATAACTCAGTCTATATCAATATTAAAACAAAGAGAAAATCTTGAAAATACACACAGAGAAAAAAAAAATATTACCTGCAGAAGGACAAAGATACAAATTACAGCAGATTTTTTTCTCCCAGAAACCATGCATGTAAGAAGACAATGGAGCGACATATTTAAAGTGCAGAAGGAAATAAAACTGTTAACCCACATTCTTTGCTCATAAAAAATATTCTTCAAGAATGATAGAGAAATGCTTTTTCAGACAAATACTTATGGAATTTATTGCCAGTATACATATGCTGCAAAAAATATAAAAACAAAGACAAAAAACTTTAGGCAGAAAAAGTGAATAGGTCTGAAAATTGGTTATACACAGAAATTTAAATAATGAAGTAGAATAAATGAAAGAAAATGGAATCTATTTTTCTTTAGATTTAAATGTGCTAAAAGATAACTGATTGTTTAAAGCAAAATAACAATGTATTGTGTTTATATTGTGTTAGCAATGTATTGTGAAAGTAGATGATATAAGTAACATAACTATAAAATTTGCTGATTAAGTTTTTTAAAGACTTAAAGGATTTACTCTTTAAATATAACAAAATTACTTCAGAATGTAAGTAAAAAGAATAATAACTATGACTTTTATAGATTTTGGAAAAAAAGTAATGAAAAGAAATAGCCTTAATAAATACTAAAAATATTTGTTATCGACTGAATTGTGTGCCCCCAAATTCATATGTGAAGCACTAAACCCCGATGTAACTGTTTTGTGAGATAGGGCCTTTAAGTGGGTTAATTAAGGTTGAATGAGTTCATAAGGAACACTAATATAATAGAATTGGTATCCTTATAAGAAGAGAAAAAGACACCAGAGATCACTTTCCACACACACAAAGGCCATGCAAGGATATAGTAAAAAGGTGGCCATCTACAAGGCAGAAAGAGAAGTTTTACCAAAAACCCACCCTGACAGTACCTTGACCTTGAATTTCCAGCCTTCAGAATTATGAAAACAATACATTTCTGTTGTTCAAGTCATCCAGTCTGTGGTATTCTGTTATGGTAGCCCGAGCACATGAATATAGTATTAAAAGAATATTGAACATAATGGTCCCCAAACTGTATATTATTCCATACCCGTATAAGATTTTAATTCATTATTAAGGAAATGTCCCGAATCAGTGGAAGAGTGAACCAGAATTAAATAAATGATATTGAAAATTTGAAAGGGATTTAGATTCTCAACACAATTGTAGCTACATGTAAAAACACAATCTCAAAAACTGGAAAAAGAATTTAAAAAATATGTCTAGTTGGAAAATAGTTTTTCTAAACTTGAGAGTAGTGGAAGAAGTCATATAAAAAAGTCCATAGTTTTTATTATAAAATGTGTAAAATATCTATATTTCAAAAAATGTCCTTAGTACAAATATGGGAAAAGAACATATATAAATTATTATCTTTAATATGTAAAAAAGCACACACAAATTAATGAGAAGTGCTTCAGGAGATGAAAAATTCATAAAACACAATTCGTAAAAGAGAAAATTTCCCTGACTGATGAAATTGATCAATTTTCCTTTTGCTCATGAAAGCATAACTTGATAGAATCCTTTCGAATATTAGTTTGGCAAAACGTGTGAAGGACCTTAAGTATATTCATGACTATATTACCCTGTAATTCTAGTTCTGGAAATATATCTCTTTCTGTAACAGTTTTAAAATATTTTTACACATTTTTTAAAACTTCTTCCTTAAAAAGATGGCATCTAATTCCCCTCCCATGGAGTATGGTCTAGACTTGATAACTTGCTTCTAACAAAAAGTAGAATGGCCAGTATATGACTTTTAAGTTTAAATCACAAAAGATATTGTAGTTTAAGCTCTCTTTCGTGGATAATTTCTTCTGGGGGAAACTAGGTACTGTATCGTGAGTAGACAAACAGGATGAGGAACTGAGGACTCTTGCCAACAGCCAGCAAGGAACACAAGTCTCCAATGAATAGCCATCTGAGGAAGGCACCTCCTTAAGCACCAGTGAAATCACTGAAGATGCAGCATTTAAAGAGGTCATTAAGGTTAATTGATGTCATAAGGTTGTGGCCCTAATCCAATAGGACTACTACTGTCCTTAGAAGAAGAGGAAGAGAGCCAAGGGTAGGTATACACAGAGGAAGCATCATGTGAGAACACACAAGATGGCGGTCATTTGAAAGCCCAAGAGAGGCCTCGAGAAAGACCAAACCTGTCAACACCTTGATCTTGGACTTCCAGCCTCCAGAACTGTGAGAAAATAAATTTCCGTTCTTTAAGCCACCCAGTCTGTGGCATTTTGTCATTGCAGCAAAATGCATAATAAAAAGTTACCATTTTGACTATTTTTAAGGGTAATGTTGAGCATCTTTTCATGTGCTTTTGGTCATTTATGTATCTTCTTTGGAGAAATGTCTATTTGAGTCCTTTGCTCATTTTTGAACTGGGTTATTGTTTCTTGGTATTGTTTGAGGAGTTCTCTAAACATTCTAGATATTAATCCCTTATCAGATATATAATCCATGAATATTTTCTTCCATTCTGTTGGTTGCTTTTTTATTCTGTTGATATTGTCTTTTTATGCATAACATTTAAAAATTTTTATGAAGTCCAATTTGTCTATTTTTCTTTTATTGCCTGTACATTTGGTGTCATATCCAAAAAATCATTGACAAATTCAATGTCATAAAGGTTTTGCCATATGTTTTCTTGTAAGATTTTTATAGTTTTAGGTTTTACACTTAGGTCTTTGATACATTTTGAGTTAATTTCTCTATAATGTGTTAGGTAAGGGTCTTATTTCAATCTTTTGCATGTGGATTCCCAGTTTTCCTGACACCGTTTGTTGAAAAGGCTGTTCTTTCCCCATCAAATGGTCATGACACCCCTGTCAAAAAATTATTTGGCCATATATATGAGTATATTTCTGGGCTGTCTAATCTATTCCATTGGTCTATATGTCTGCCTTTATGCCAGTGCCACACTGTTTTTATTATTGTAGCTTTATAGTAAATTTTGAAATCAGGAGTGTGAGTCCTTGGGCTTTGCTTTTCTTTTTCAAGATTGTTTTGGTTGCCAAATGGGAGGGGGTGAGGGGGTGAAAAAAGGGGAAAGGGATTAAGAAGTACATATCAGTAGTTACAAAATAGTCATGGGAATGTAAAATATAGCCTTGGGAATATAGTCAATAATAGTGCAATAACTCTGTATGGTGTCAGGTGGGTACAAGATTTATCAGGGTGATCGCTTTGTAAGTTAGATAAATGTCTAATCACTGTGTTGTACACCTGAAACTAGTATAATATTATATGTCAACTGTGATTAAAAATAAATTATTTAAAATTTTTTAAGATTCTATATTGAGATCATATAGTATTTGTCCTTCTGTGTTTGGCTTATTTGACTAAGCATAATTTTCTCCAGGTTTATCCATGTTGTCAAAAAAGGGCAGGATTTTTTGCTTATTTATGGCTGAATAACGTGTGAGCATGTATGTGTGCCACATTTTCTTTCATTTATTCATCCTTCAATGGACACTTAGGTTTTTTTCCATATCTTGGTTATTATGAGTATTGCTGCAATGAACATGAAAGTACATGACAGATTCTGCCAATGCAACTGTCTAGGTGGGAAGACAGACTTCTGTTGCTTCCTACTCAGCCATCTTCTCAGAATCCTATCACCTGTTATTTTCAAACCTCATTAAAAATAATACAGGCAACCTATTTATAATAATTTTTAACATTCTGATCTTCTAAACTAATTTACAACAATTATCTAGTCTAATGTTATATGTTTAATTAGCTTTCAAGCTCACCACTATTTTTTTGAAATCATAGCTCCTCCATTCTTAGGCTTTCAATTTTAATTTATTTCTTATTATTTTAGAGCATATCTTTATTTTGAAAGGTTATCTTGGTGGTGGTATTTTTGTTGTTCTTTTTTTCCTGTCTGCTTGGTAATATGTTTCTATTGGCTTTACATTTAACTGGCACCTTATCTGCATAGAAAATGCTACCTGAAAACTCTATAGATATGGTTCTGTGTTTTTCTAACATTTAGAGATGAGTAAGAGACCAAACTGGTGTATCCTTCTCTATAGTCTTCTTACTTTTTAATTTTGTTTATAGCTTTCTTTGCCTTTAAAATTTAAAATGTTCACAATATTTACCCCAAAATATATTTTTATATATATTTTTTGACAATCTTGACCCTTTGAGTTCCTTAAGAGTGCTATTTTTAGTTCCTGTGTAGAAATTTCTTTTCCTCTGGTGGTAGTTTCTGTTTGATGAATTTTATGTTTCTCTCTCAAGTACATCTCTCAATTTTAGAATACTGCTTTTTTTTTTTTTTTCAGACATCTATTTCAGGAATCTTCTCTTTAACCAGTTTAATCTTTGGCTATAGTAAGAATGAAATGATAAAAGCGGTAGTTTTGTTTGGCCTCCTTGGTTGTGCAGCTTTCACAGAAGGACATCTCCTTCATCCCCTCCCTGAAGTTCAGTGAAATCTTTCATCATCTTGGTGGTAAGAATCAGCAGGGGGTAGGGAGATGTCCTGCAACAGCACTCCCAATCCACGTTCATAATAAATCACACTTTTTATTGTCTTACCAAACTCTATACAAGCTTCTTTTATTCTGTCTTAGAGATGCAGTGATTTTCATTTTCTCTTTTTAGTTATCTTATTTTCTAGGTTTTTAGGAGGAATTTCAAAAGGTGAGATTTTCAGTCCACCTCGTCTTAGTGTTGTGTCAACGAATTCGAATGGAAAGAAAGGGTTAAATTTGTTCCACACGTGTCAGCAAAATATGACAAAAGAGGAACATAAAAGTCACAGAGTATACAGTCATTGAAGAGGAAGACTTTGGCAGGCGTGGAAGGGATTGCTTCTCCTTTCACTGCGACACGGACTAACACAGACAGACAGACAAGCAAGGTCATTCCCAGCTGTTAGCCCAACAGTAGATGTGACCAAGATGGATCACAGATGGTGAGTGATCATTCTTACTTCAAAAGGCAATGTTGAGTTAAGTGACCTCGGCAGCAGGGTAAAGTTGAGGATGGTGCTCTGTTTTCTGTACTTCCTGCCCAAGAATGGTAATATGTATTAAAGACATATTTATACAGAAACCAAAAGTAGAAACACCAGGGAGAAAGAGTGGTCTACGCTATAAAACATTAGCTAAAATCCCAAAGCCATTCTCTTCTTCTTGGAGCATCCACTCTAGGTTGATTGCATAGCTCCAAGGCAGAAAAGAGTTTTAAAAAATTTCTGTCAAAGACATTTGACTGCCACTCAAAGGTGAGAATTATTGAGCTCCCTAAAATTATAGTGGTTGTTGGTTTTTAAAAAGTGATTGGTTTTGATTTTGTAAATTTGTCTTTCAAATATTTCAATGTTGCAATTGTTAGTTTTAAGAATCATGAAATTTCAAAATGTTTGAACACGTATGACAATTGACAGGAAGCAAATTTTGTGTATACTCAAGGTCAATTTGGCCTGGGGATGGGATAATGACATAGAGAAGGTAGAAGGAGATAGGCTAAGGAAAAGTAAGAGGTAGAAGAAATCTAAGAAGAAATTGCAGAACCCAGATAATGAGTCACAAACAGGTCTTTGGGAGTTTCTGAGCAGAGCGAGGTAGTGGAAAGAAGTAGAGTAATTTAACTAGCTACCGGGTATTGAACATGCTTGATGTGCATGTATTTTACTAGTGTTGCTTCATTGAATTTTAATCTTCACAATGACTCTCAGGCAGATTATATCATCATTGTGTTTTATGAATGAGGTAACTCTGGTTTAAAGCTAAAAAACCAGCCGAAGTTCACACTGCTTATAAGGAGAGAGCTTAAACATTTCTTGCCACTTTACTCTACACCACAAGGTTTCTCCATGCCCACCAGGTTCTCATGACAGTGACTTACTGAAAGGGGTTACACCCACCCTTCTTTTTGATGGTGGCAGGGAGGCCAGTCACTATTTATTATTGTTCTTTGAAAATCTAAATAACTCTCATCTACCTAGTGTTTACTGGTTTGGGAAATAGCTTTGCTGCTTTTATTTCAGAAGATTAGAATTTAAATTCCAAGTTAAGATTCCTTTCCCTCCAGTGGAATTTTGAATTGTTACATAAATAAGAAAAAAAATTTTTCAGAATTTATAATTTTTGTGGAACCATAGAAGTGGTACCACTTAATTATGTTAATACTACCAGATGTCTATGGAACCACAGGCACTGCCTATATTTTTCTTAAGATTCTTTTTGTTTAATAATGCCTAATAATTAATCACAAGCAAAAAAAATTTTAATATAAATAGCCAGTATATAATGTTTAATCTTATCTGAAATAAAAGAAATGCAATTTGAAACAGTGAAATGTTTTTCTTTTATCAAAGTGGCAAATATTTTGTTTAAAAAGTGAGCAAGCAAAAATCCTGCATGTTTCTAAGGAGGGAGGAACGTTTATACCTTCATTACCAGCTGATGATAATATAATCTTTCTGGACAATAATCTGACGATACATAAAGCCCTCAAAATGTATATGCCCTTTAACCAAGCAGTTCAACTTTTAGGAATTTATTATAAGGACACGTAATCATATATGTTTGTAAAGTTTTAATGACATGGATGTTTTTCTTGCCATTGTTTCTAATAGGAAAAATCTTACAAACAAATGTCTGAACATAGGTAATTGGTTAATTAGAGAACATCCACAATGGAATGCCATGCAATCATTAAAAATTCTACTGCAGAACAATTCTTAATGTGTTTAGCTTAAGGGAATAAAAGCAGAATACAGTGCTACTACTTAAACTTGAATTACATCTGTAGGCAGAACGAAATTAGATATTTCAGAAAAATAAACCAATAACCCATAATTTGTGGAATTCCATTGTTAAGGCTTTGGCCTTTTGTGTTTAACTTTTTTTTCGTCTCTTGACACCTCTTCAAAATATACTCACTCTACCCATAATTCACTAGATCCTAATAGGCCTGTTTTCATAGCATATTCCACGTGCAAGAGACTGGAGCTCTCATTTCCTTATTTTTCAATGTAATGGCATGGCTCTAGAGTAACCTGCATGTTGAGTGAAAGAGCAGTGTAGTGATTAAGTGACCACACTTTGGAACCTGAGTGTTGAGATTTGATCCCAGTTTCTCCCACTTGCTAGCTGTGTGACCTTGGACAAGTTGCTTAACGATTGTAATTCTCATTTTCTTACCTGTATAATTGGGATAATTGTGACTTGTCATAAGGTGGTTGTGAGATTTTTAGAGAGAAAGTGATTTATCCAAGATTACACAACTACTTGATGGCAATGCTAGGACTAAAATTCAGGTAGGTTTTTCAAGCAGAAGCGTTCAATACACTTGAGCCTGTCAGGACAACCCCAAGCTGAGCTCCAAAGAGAGCTGACCTGAAACAGGCAGAGCCCAAGGACAAGGCCAGCCACTTACAGGGAATGACTTCCATCACAGTGGGAAACCAAATGCTGGAGAGGAGAGTGAGCTAAGGAAGCCAAGAGGCTGGTTAGGTATAGGGATAAAGCTGGGAGCAAAGACCTAGTGCAAGAGAGAAGAGATGAGTCAGAGACACTGCTGGGGCTTTTATAGACCACCAGCTGTGGGCTTTATGGGGGATCAACATGGTTTAAAGACCCAAGGTCTAGGTGATTAAATAGACAAATAGGGTATGTGGGGGAATTGCAACTATACAGAAGATGCCTGACAGGTAGTAATAAAAGAGGATAAGGTGGAAACTGAGAGGGACCAGGACAATAAAGCCTCAGAGCCCAGACATCCAGTCGTGATTATCCTAAAGTAATAGCCTAAGTTTGAAAAGTCATAAACAAGCAAAAGTAATGATAAAATTTGCTTTAAAAATTTTCTCTGGAAGCAGAGTGCAAAACTGATTTGGCGACATGGAGAACATTTAGAAAACTATTGTATAATCCAAGGAGAGGTGTTGAGGATTGGAACCAGGGTAATTATGGTGGAATTGGAGAGGAGACGATGCATTCGGGAGATTTTTAAGCACTAGAATTGATAGGATTTGGGTTTTGACAGATGTAGAGCTTGGAAAGAGACATTTAAGTACACGGTAACATCCTTTACAATGTGAGGGATATAGGAAATGGGTTGGGTTTGGGCCAGGGGGAAAAAGAGAACAGAAATTGAGTTTGTTTTTTAACATGCTGAATTTGAGATCCTGTGGAGCAGGTAGATGGTGATGTGCAAATAGATAAGTAGATATACAAGTGCAAAGCTCAGGAAAGAAGTATGGGCTGGAATAGATATTAAGAGTCTTCAGCACAAATACAGCTGAAGTTGAAATTCTCGTTGTGAGTGAGGTCGCCAGGGAGAGGGCAATGGTGGAGCGAGAAGCAATCAAGGCTGGTACCGTAAAATTTTAACATTTAAGGAGGTAAATGAGGATACAAAGTCCATAATAGACACCAAAGAGGGACTAGAAATATTGGAGCAAAGAGGGAGAAAGTGATGTCATAGAAACCAAGGGAGGAGAGAGATGCAAGAAAGAGGAGGACATGTCCATGGAAAGGCAAACTTCTACATTGAGCACATGAGATATGACAGAAAAAGTGACTCTAGAGACTAAATGCTAAGGGTTGAATTGTGTCCCCCAAAATTTACGTGTTGAAGTCTTAACCGCCAGTACCTCAGGATGTGATCGTGTTTAGAGATAATCAAATTAAAATGAGGTCATTGGGGTAGGCCCTAATCCAAGATGACTCAGGTGAGTGTATAAAGAAGAGGAAATTTGGGCGTAGAAACATGCAAAGCAGAGGATAGTCACAGCATCAAATTCTGCAGAAAGGTGAAGTAGGAGAATTACTGAAAATGTCAGTCCAGAGGCCTTTGATGACCTTTGCAGAACACTCCCAGCTAAAAAGAAGGAGTAGATCTCAGAGAGCTGAGAACATGGAGACAGCAGATAGACCACTGCTGCAAAACGTTTGGTGGTGAAAGGTGACCTCGTAACTGGACCAAACCCATCTCTAAGCCTCAGTTTCTTTATCTGTTGGAAGTTTTAATAGCTTCAAATTTTCAGAGGGTAAGGACTAAGTGAATGAATGGAAAAATATGAACTGCATGGCTCAGAGTAGTAAGGAATAAATGATTGCTGTGATGAACAGGCATGGGGCTAGGAATCTTACATAGGTGTTGCCCTTGAATCCTTACAATGACCATGTGAACTAGGCATCGTTTTCCCCCACTGAAAAATAAAAATGAGGAAATTGAGGTTTAGAGAGGTTTAGTAACTTACTCAAGGTCACACAATTAGTAAGGGGCAGAGTGGAGAGACTTACTCAGAAAGTGTCAAACTACACCATAAAAGTATGCTGACATGTATCTGATATTCTAATGATAGTCATATAACATTATTGGCTAGAAATTAAAACCGAACATAACATTATTGGCTAGAAATTAAAACCTATTCAATTCTATAACCTGCTGAAACCTTCAGGTCACCAACTGTGTGAACCCGAGCAAGTGGCCTAACCTCTCCGAAACTCAGTTTCCTCATCTGTAAAACTTTGTATGTTTATTGTATAGGTTAAATAAAGTAATTCGTTAGAAATACTTAGCAGAATACCTAGCTTATAACAATCTGCTAACAGATATTAACTTTACTAACATTTACTGGACACCTGTTACTATACCAGGAAGGCAAAGGGGAGTGGAACATGTTTCCTGCCCTTGTGGAACTCAGGACAGGATAGTCACATGAGCAGTGAAACTTTAACACAAATGAGGAAACTATTATAAGGGAAGAATAAACAATGTGATTTGGGAAGGAGAAAGATACAGATATGGTGAAAATAGGAGGGGATGATGGCAGAGAAGGTATCAATTGTGAACTGTGGAGTGATCTGGATCTCAAAAGAAGAATCGAGTTTTGCAGATAGAGAAGGCAAGAAAGGCATTCCAAGCAGAAGAAACAGCTGTCGAAAGCAAAGAAGGCAA